TGTGTTGAATTCCTATCACGGTTTTCATCTCGCGGACGGCCCAAGAGTGAACTGTGTTGAATTCCTATCACGGTTTTCATCTCGCGGACGGCCCAAGAGTGAACTGAAGTGAGTCGAGGAAAACCTCATCACGGTACTGACATCGCCGACAGCTCAGAACGCTGGAGATGAGGAGAAAACATGGCTCTGGGGAACGATCAAAGTATTGCCAGCTGGACTCATGGACGATGCTGGGTGGGCAGAACCCTTACCTTGCAGACATATCCATTCCCTCAGGGTTGAAAACCCAAAGCGAGTAACGAAATGAATCGTCCACGCTCGAGAACATGTCGGCTGTCCGAAGAGTAAAGTACAAATAAACAAAAGAAGGTAGTTGCAAACCCGGTTACCCACCGGCGCAATACTGACAGTAGTACATATCTGCAAAGCGGAGGGCAGTAGACGAGGAGCATGCATCGTCACTATCGTGTGCCCTTGCAAATCGCAAACCGCTGAGCCATCGCTAGCCATCTGATTAGGACAACCACACAGCTCGGAGGCCAAACACCAATGCAGTCCGGGCTGATCGCGATGATGATCGGCTCAACAAGACAGGTAAAGATGCTCACCCCTCTCTTCCCAGCATCGGTTGAACGCAAAAGGGCCCGTAATGCACAGTCTCCTGCCATAACATCCTTACCTATGGTAATATCACTGCCGATTCCTACCGTAGATGAGAGTCGTCCAGCCTGTCTCCGGACCATTAGCCATCTGATCGCCACGATCCGATGAATAAGTTGTGACAGGGATAGACAGGTTGGCTGGACGACTGGAAGTGGACGTTTGCTGAAGTCTGCCCTGTCCAATCAGGAGATATGGCTGAGCCAGCATGGAATGATTCGCCGGAACGAAAGCCAAGGGCAAACACCCATGTCAATCATCAATCTCCGTCGACGAAGAGATCTGTCAAGATGTAATTGCTTGAGACAACAGCCCCTGACGTCGCGTAGCCATGCTCAGACACGGCCGCCGATGGCTGGCAGGCAGCTGGTGCATCAGTGCATCTTTCTGTCAGTCAGATTATACTCGCCTCTCGACCCGTGCAGCCGCCACAGACGGAGGTGAGAGTCCATGCTTCTGGTCCGAGTCGTTGGAGATGCCACCCCGCCACAACCGTCAGTGGCGGAAAGCCGAATATGTCAAAGACATGCAAAGTCAAAAAGGGGTTGCGCGGTCATCCGAACAGACTGGCAAGGACTGGACTTCGGAAAGAGATTACCGCCCTATAACGAAGCACAGCCCGACATGTCGAGATTTCTTAAACGGTGGTGAAAACTCGATGTGCCAATCCTCACCATCAATCGGTGCTGGCCCAAACCGGCTCGATCCGACTGTGGTTGCATTACCCGATCGACCGATGTGGGCGGCCGTCGCCCCCGCCATGGGGATCATATCCAGGCTCGGGCCTTTTGTCAGACGCGTCTCCTCGTGGTGAAGGCAAAAAGCTTTGCAATCGTGGAGGCGAGAGAGACAGGTGAGAGGAAGCTCAAAGGGCCCGGCGCCGGGCGTGGGACCACAATTGAGTGGCTGGACTGCACCGGCTTTCTCCATCCTGGAGACGGAATTTTGAACCTTTCTTCGCTGAAGGTTCGGTGGTGAGCGGTGACCGCAGTCCACGCAAGAAGCATGTGATGATGGCGGGAGAAGGAGGCGAGAAGACATTAGGTATGAAATTCCATTTTGCCGGTGAAACCTCGGAGGCACAATCCAGCCACGCAAATCACGTGCCGGGACTGCCTTACCATTCTGTTTTCATTGAGCTGTGACTGGCTCGCTAGTATTCTACCGAGCTGCATGAAACCTCGTCATCTCCCGACAGGCGAGCCCGAAGCGGCCAGCAGCCCGACACCCGGACCGTTGGCCAATCAAGTCCCACAGAGACGGAGTCTTCCGTTGCATTTGCTTGAATTTGGAAATCCGATCGTCCTCCACTATTCCACCAGCCATGTGGCCAGCTTCGAAAAAGAAGCGGTAGAACATGCACGTCGACGGGTATGCCCTCCACGTCGACTTGAGAGTAGTAGCAGCTGTGGTTCATAGGGTCCACGATACTTGGAGAGGGTCTCTGAAACATGAAACCTCTGTAGTATGCGGCCGCAGGACATCTGTCTGATTACTCAACTTGATGCAACCATATGGCAAGGAAAATTCAGACAGTGCCATAATAACTGTCGGTGCCATGTTCAGAAATTGTTAGAATCCGCATTATTGCAGATGGTCAGGCCGTTGCCAGTGATTAGGGTTGCAGCCGGCGGCGCCGCATTCAAGCCATTTCATGTAGGTAGTTACCTAGGTACTATAATTCCGAGACAAGCATTCAAACAGCTGGGTACTGTGGCAGGGTGAGAAATTTTCTGGCAACAATAGCACAAGCCAGAAAGAACGGCAGCGGCAGCAGCAAGGACTCGGCGTGAGGATATCGTGATAACTTGCCGTGGTACATTTGCACAGGCTGTACCGCCGGATGGTCCATCTCCCACGAGACCTACAATGTCCTGCCCTCATAAGATCGTCAAAACAGAACTATACTGTCACGAATGCCGATACCAACTGCCGACAACTTATATCCCTCGACTATTCGGATAGAAGCTAAGAGATATAAACTATATACGCCCCGTATAAGAGAGCTTTCCTTCTCTTATACTTCGAGTCGTATATAACTATAGAGTTAAGGAGTACTTAATACTAATTAAAGACTTTATCGCTATACTCTATCTATTCTTATTAGACGTTTCTAATATTCTCGAAGTATTACCTTAAATTAATCGAAGTAAGCGATATAGAGATAAACTATCTACGTAACGATAGGGCTAAGAAGAGTAGATCTATCTACTAAAGTAATATCTAATTCCGATAAGTCGTCGTCGACCCTAGCCTAATATATAAAGAGATTAACTAAGACTCTAGAGAATAGCTTATCTAGCGAAGAAGTCGTAGGCGATCTAGATACGACTTAGGCCTAAGCGAGATCCGCTAAACCCGCTTCTACTCTATAAGTAGTAGCTCTTCTTAAGAGGCGCGCCTAACTTTAAGAGTAGTTAAAGCGAAAGCGTCTAGAAGAAGAGATCTAGACGATAGAAGAAGAAACTACGAGATATATCTTAAAATAATATATAGAGATTAAAGATACGACGCTATTAATATATAAGCGAGCTTAAAGCGTATCGTCTAGAGACTAAGATTAAAAGAAGTTATACTAGATTCTTAAAATTACTAAATTAAAAGAATTTAGTAGTAAAAATACTTAAGAATTAAAAGACTTTAATAGTAGCTAGTAAACTATTTTTAAGACTATTTTAAGTAATATTACTCTAGACTAGAAGTATTATATTCGAATTATAGCTAATTATCTTAAAGATTAGACGATAATTAACTAGCGACGAGATTATCGCGAAGAAGTACTAATATCTTTATTATAGAATATATTTCTTATCTAGTATAAAAATACTATTAAGAATATAAATATTCGTAAGAGAGAAGCGCTTAAAGCGCTTACGACTCTTAAATAAGAATCTACTTAATTAATATAAGATCTAGTCTATTAAATAGAACTTCTAAAAAAAGATATAGAATTTCTTACTAAGAATAAACGAAAGAGATAAGCTCTTTATTATTCTCTAACGTCTATACTTCGTAAGATTATTAAGCGTAACGTACGAACGATTACTTCTCGAGCCTAAGTTCTAGTCTTTATATAGTAACTAAAGAGAATACTTTAAAAGTTTAAAGTCGTAAAGATACTCTAATTAAAACTCGTAAGCGAGATAGATACGACTATATTCGAGAGCTTAAATCTACGATAGACCGATCGCGACTTATATACGTAATAGGACTAACTAGTCGCTAGAGTACTATTTAAAAAAGACTTAAATTCCTAAAAAGACTTAAATTCTAAAAAGTAAAGATCTATAAGTAGAATCTCTACGAAGCTCTTTACGAGAAGATACTTTATCTATAAAGCTATAGATTATAGATAGGCCGACTATCTAAAGAAGAATAAGCTCTTTATAGATAAGTCGTAATTAAAGTAAAAAAACGTTATAAAGAGAAATTTAAAAAATTAGTATCTAGTCTATTAAGTATCGTAGTAGTACTAGAACTAGATAAAAATTAAGTAGTATAATCTAAAGATAAAATATAACTAGAGAAAAACTTACTTACTCTAGAGATAAAGATTAATATCCCTAGTAAGAAGTATAAGATAAAGGCTCTACTTAATAGCGAGATATAAATAAGTTTTCTTTTATATATACTAGCTAAAGAATATAAGCTTAATTCTACTCTATTAAAGATATATATATATACTAAAGCTCGAGCACGCGCAAAGAGACACCCATACGAGCACGAGATACTGAGCAGACGCATACGAGGAGCATGCGACAATCACCAGACCAGGCCGCGGCGAGCGGCGCTGGCCAGCGAGGCTAGGGGGACCTCGAGGCGTCCTAGTACGCCCCGGGGAACACTAGAATAACACGCGCTACGTAGGCGGAAAAAGGACGAGGAGCTAAGGAGAGGAACGAGATAGGAGAAGGTCTATACGGCCTAGCGGACGACCTTCGTATAATTATAAGAGATCTCGAGAAAGAGGGTACTAAGGCGAGATAGCTTTAGGCACTCGATAAGGTAGTCGAACGCGTAAAACGCGTCTAGGACGCGTCTAGTACTCGCGACGTACTACTATCGAAGGGTATCGAGGTATAACTTACTTCGATTGAAAAGGCGATCGAGAAGATCGCGTAGCCGCCGCGAGACGCGACTAAACTATTATAGGTAGGCGTCGCTACGCGCGGCGTAGCCGTATAGTATACGACTTCCGTACTACTCGCACGCCTAGAGCGATATACGATAAGAATAGCTATACCTAATACGAAGGAGATAACGGGCGAGGAGATTCTTAGAGAGATTAAAAAGACGATCCTAATAGCGGTTACGGTCCGCGTACTAAAAAGCGGCGACGTAGATATAACTCTCCTAACGGAGGCGGTAAAGGACCGCGCCTAGGCGATACCCCTAATAGAGATAATGCGAGTCTATAAGTAGAACTACCTAGTAGAGGTTCTAGACGTCCCGCTAAGTACCCGAGTCGCGGCCGGAAAGTAGGCGAATAACGCGAGCCTCGCGGCTATAGTCGCGGACGACTCGAGATCGGTCGCGCCGGGACTCTAGATCTCTAGGATCGAGTAGCTCTACCCGGCTAAATAGGTAGAGCGTATACGCGCCGAGGGGAAGACTTACGAATCTCTTCTCGTCGGACTATAGAGCTAGGCGATACGCCGAAGCGTAATCTAAGGCGATATTATAATAGAGGCGCGTCTCTATAAGATTCGTCTTTTTAAGAGAGCGCTTTAAGAGATTTAGTACTTTAACTACTAGTAATAGAGTTATACCTAGAAAGTATACGCGAAGCTCGCGAGGTACGGTAGATACGCTAGAGTCTATAAGTCGAAGAAGCATACTAAGAAGAGAGTCTCGTACACTAACTACGATAAGGTATATAAGGTGTAGTACCTATACGCCTACGATACGTACTAGAGATACTACGACTATATTTAGTAAAGACGAGTCGTAGCCCTTATATAGACGGTAAGTATCCGAGCCGTACCTCGGGATAGCCAGACTACGAAGGGATAGACTATAGTAGAGAATAAGAGATAGAGGGAGACCTCCTCTAGAGTAATCGTATAGAAGAGAGTAGAACGACTAACTTATATAAAGATAGCGGTACGTAGCCTCTAATAGAGACGTCTCTTTTTCGTAGGCGGGTCGTAGAGAGATCGTCAGCCGTCGCTAGAGCTAAGTATATAGAAGGTAAATATTATAGATACTTCCGATAAATAAGTTCGAGATTATCTAGTATAACTATAATAACTCAAATAGCTATACATTTCGGGCGCTCTTCGATAGCTTTACGCGACCTACGATACTCGCGATTTAGAAACTAGCCTTTAATCGTTTTATAAAGTTAATCTACTACCCTAAGCCCTACTAGCTAGTATACGAGGCCGCCTAGATAATATAGATATACTTTATAATAAGGCGAGATATATCCGTTTCGCACTAGAGACGTATATAATTCGGGCCGAATATAGTACTACTCGATATTAAGATAGAGAAAAGAAAACTCTCGATAGTTAACGTCTATAACCCTAGAGGAAATTAGCCTAGGATCGCCAAATAGGAGAGAATCCGAAAAGCTTTTAATAAAGCGACTAGCGAGACTATCGTTCTAGGCGACTTTAACGCGTACTATCTAGCGTAGGAAGGCGTAGAAGTCGCGTACGAATAGTAGATAGAATATCTACTAACGGTAACGAGAGCGCGAAAACTAATACTCCTAATCTAGTAGAGAGACGTATCGTAGAGAAAAGAAGACTAGAAGATAGTAATCGACCTTACGTTCGCTAAATAGCCGCTTAGTATACGAGTCGAGTTCTATAGTACTAAGTCTCTATAGACTCTAATAAAGAATTATATCTCGATTCGTATTATATTCGATATTTAATAAAACCTAACGCCGCGAGAAAGTAAGCGATTCGCACTATATAGGCTTAATATAGATAAGCTTTCCGCCGTAGTATAGCGAGAAAAGAAAACGACGACTAAGACTCTCGAGAGAATCTAGTAGAACGTTAAGAAAGCGCTAGAAGAGATCTACCTAAGGGTACGCCCGTTATCGAGAGTAAGACTAGACTAGTCGCCGAGAGCTACTAAGCTACTTATATACTCTAGATAGACGAAACGTAGGTTTCTCGTAACTAGAGACCGAGTCTAGCTAGAGCTAGTATACTATCTAGCGAACTAGCTTAAGTAGAAGATCCGAAGAAACGCGAGGGCGAACTAAAGACGTACGATAAGTAAGCTATTCGAAGATATCTTCCGAGATCTATAGAATATCTCGAGATAGAGTAGAAGAAGCGTAGATAAGTCGTACGAAGACTCGTATCTTTCGACGCTACGGAGGACTAAGTTTCTCTCGACTACGAACGATAAGAGCGAGAAAAACTAGATTCTAGCGAAAAAGTTCTTCCCGCTAGCGCCGACCGTAATAAGCGAGCCTAGAGAGTAGATAATTCGTATATAGCTCGTAATCTCCTAGAAGATTACGAAGAAAGAGACTAGAGCTCTTCTCGCGGCCCTTCTAACGAAGAAGACTCTAGATCTCGACTCGATCTCGAACGAAGTACTTAAGATACTTAGCCCTATCCTAGTAGTCGACGTCGCGTAGGCGATAAATAGACTCTTCGAATAGGGCTAAATTTCGACGTATCTTAAGAAATCTATAACTATTACCCTCCGTAAGAATAGTAAAAAGAACTACTCCCTCCCGAGAGCGTATCGATCTATTACCCTAAAGAATACTCTCGCTAAGGTAGCTAAGAAAGCGCTAGCGAACCGCCTAATAGATATAGTCGAGGAATATAATCTTCTTCTATAGAGCTAGATAGAGGCGCGAAGAGACCGCTCGACGCTCTCGATCGTTAGTCTAGTTATAA